TCACAGCTTGGCTACTGTGGTCACTGTTCGATTACAAAATGTTTTTCCTTCGCATTGACGGAGGCCAGAAAACGCCTGGGAGCATACTCGGCTTAACACTTTTGTTTTGTCGTTTAGCACAGCGGGGTGTTTAAGTGGGTCTTAACGGGCAAAGGAAAAAGTTCCCGAGGAAGTCCTGTAAAGACGAGGGCTTCAGTGAATACCTGTGATGTCAGGAGGAGCCTCGCATTCTTCACACAAACCCTGGTTATGGGGTGAATGGTGTTTAAAAGAAGCCGGTTTAAGGGAAAAACAGCACGATGCTAAATGTATAAAACGACATCCGGCCGAACCGTCGCACACCAGAGCTGAATGACAGAGTCCAGGAGGAGAAAGCGATGCCTCTGGGAAGCATTGCTGCAGAGTGAGATGTGACTCATAGAGCAGTTACAGCAATGAGAACATCCAGGAAGGCCAATTATACGCGTTTTTCCAATAGACACTGACGCACATTAATGACTTAAGATTTACAGAGAGGTCAGCAAGCGCTACGCACCAACATCACACAGGAGTACACATAACGTTTGAACAGGGCCTCAGTCACACATGATGAAAAGGGAACATTCATAGTACAGCCGTGACTCGATAATCCGACACTAAATGTAAAACCTTCTTTTATGTTGGATATCAAGGCTGTCGGATTGTCCAGACGGAGGTCCAGATACAAGGAGGGCTTGATGCTGGAAGGCTCATTAGTTGTTCATTATTGTTCATAGTTGTTATAATAACTAGTAGGGCTGGTCCCAGTAGCACTTTCTGCTCTCTGGATGTTCAGGCCCAAATAATGATGAATATTCTGTGCGGTCGGGGGACACTTCCACCCCGGGGCAGCGCTCTGACGGGGTGGAAGTGTCCAGAACACACAGGCAGTACTTGGCTGCTGATGCTAGTTTAGTTAGCGCTCACACTTCTGTTTCCTCCATCGGTGGCGGCGGGGGAGTGGCAGATACGCTCCACCGTTACCATCCATGTTTACTTCCATAAACACTGAGCACGCTCGCTGCGTGTGACGTCGTCGTGTCCTCTTCTGCGCATGCGGGACACTTTTGGCTCGTATGAAGTTCACACAGCAGATCACATACAAGTCGCATTGAAGTGGAAACGTGAAGGAAGTCACAAAGAAATCCTCATTGAGCATCAAGTCCTGCAGTGTGAACGTAGCCAATCTGTGGGATTGTTCAGTCAGATAATACGCCGTCATCCTGATTGGTGCCAATGCTGACGGGATGTTTAGGCTGTTTTCTATGGGTTCCGTCCGTTTTTCCTAAAAACCTGTCGGATAGCAAGGTTTAGGATTGTTCAGGGTCGGATATCGAGCCACGAGTGTATTTTAAAGGCAACACCAGCACACTTTCCGCTGTGCCTGTGTAGCAACTACTTCCTCGTGTGACTCAGTTATATTCAACAGAGACCAAAAACAATAATTAGCTTAACTGTTTTGCCTCTAAGTAGCTTCTCTTTGATCTTAATCATCCAAAGTCTATAAAATATAATAATAAAGCAAGACTGAGGCTAACATTATTTGGTAATTCAGCCTAATCTGAATGTCATAATCATCCCATTTGTTTACCTCTCTGTGCTGAGCTGCACACATACTGGGGCTAACCGCCGCATTATGGAAAGTTGTCGTAGCGACTTTTGACAAATGAGGGAAATCAAGAAGCAGATCACGACTGGGACCTAATCAGAGTTTAGAAATTGTCAGACAATTAAGACCTTGCAGCAAACTAAACATGAAGGCAGCCTAATATCTTTCCAGTATTCTCGTTCAAAAAAGCTCCAACGGCTTATTAGTCCCATATGCTTCTTACAAATCAAACAAATAAAGAAAACTCAAAGCACATGTCGAGATTCAGCGACAACAACGAAAAGGAAAAAAAAACGCCTTCGCTGAGTAAAAAAGGAAATTGCAAAACAATGACCCTTTCTTAAAAGTGGCCAGAAACACTCACAGAACACAGAAAAGGAAGCACAATAAAACCAACAACACCGTCTCACATCAAAGCAACAGCAGACCGTATCATAATTATGTAACGTGCTGGAATTTGAAGAAAGCCATTTTTTTATTCGTTATCCAAACACACAGTTCCCACGAAACGGAGACGACGACGAGCAGAACTGTCGCCTTATTTATTCGTCTGACCAAGTGAGAATAAGTGAGGGAGGTGCTCCAGACGTTTGAGGGACATGAGAAGCTTTTCTCAAATAAAAGGCGAAGCTGCTGGTGCAACATTATGTAAGGTTTTGGTAGAATGGGGGGGAAAGCCATTCTTTGTTTTTGGTCTACATTTGTGATCTGCACCAGTTTGCAGCTTTGTGTTTCCAGACATTACATAATTTCATGCAACTGGAAAACAGTGGAACCCTTAACCCTCTGAAGCCGGAGCTGGACATTTTACAGAAAGTTTCAAAACTCTGAAATCAGCATGGACAACATATTTCCATGGCCCCCCTGCAGGTGGTAATATCGGAAAAAAAAAGTATTTCTGCCCATCTGCTCTGTGCAAAACCAGCCTGAAGGTCAGCTAAAGGTCCTTGATTGCATATAATGTGACTGCTGGTGTATGTTTGGCACATTCTAAGCTTAGATTTGATGAGGTTATGGTACAACACTATCACTGCCTTATCATGAATATGAAACTGTAGAGAGTTGTGTACTCTAATGATGATAAAGTTAAGAAATGCAACAGGAGTGGTGGAGTTAAAAAGACAATGGGAAGTGGTCAGCAGTCAAAATGTCTGCAACAGAGTCCAAAAGTCTGCATTAAAACATTCCTCCACAGCTACAAGTGGCCAAACACTCCACAGGGCACCTACATAGACTTTTTAGGATTTGAACAAGCAGCTCAGTGTTGTTGTTAAATGCTACCTACTGTACTTTGATGGATATATGTATATACCTCCAAACAGCTTCATGCCACCAGCTGTCAGAATGCTGAACTGCTGATCCAGACATGCAACACTTGTTTATTTAAATTGCTTTATTGGATCCTGAAGAAACGCTCTCTTATCCTGCCTGCACTACTGTCTGTACAGCAACATGACAATAAACTGATTATTTACCATCTACAAACATGCAAAAACGTCTCCATCCTTGCCTTTCGTTCGTGCTCATGTTGGTAAATGCGCACGGCCGGCAGCTCCTGAGGGCGGCTGGGATCAAACAGAAACTCCACAGAGACGCAACAGCATTATATATTTTAGCCCCATCCAGTGATTGCCATGTTTGAATATTAAAAGAGAAGACGATACAGAAGCAGGAATTTGCAGCTAATAACTGCATCTGGTTCCTGGTGGAACCACCAGCGAACACTGAGAGGACAACGCTCACCGGCCCAAAAGCTGTTTTGCATCTTCCACACGGAGAGATGTTTAAAGCTTGGCTCAGACTTCCAAATGATCCTACTGAAGGCCCGAGTGTTTGCTTCCAGTAGTTTTTATCTGTGTACTGTATGATAAAAATCACTGAGGTAATCAGCCCATCTAATGTGACACAGACCACCGTATGGAGCTCCTTTAGACCCAACTCAGACAGAATCAGAACACATTTGATGACGGATCTTTTTAGCTCTTATATCCAAAAAAGAAACTGTACTGTATGTTTCACTTGAGATGTTTCCTATGCTTTCAATCTACAATTTTGCAAATTACTTTAAACCATGAGGGCTGTCAGAGAGCTGCTTTCATTCGAGAGTCTTTTTCATGGGTGCCCTGTAAGCATGACGATAAGCAAAAAAAACCATTGTTCAGCTATAACTAAAATACAGAATAAAATACAAATAATAGATATTTACACAGACAAACACTCTACACATAGAGAATAAACAATCATAAGTTAGACAAAATGTACAAGTTAAAAGCAAAGAAAACACTCGTACTGCTCCATGTTGGACACCAAGGCCTTAAACCTGTCCAACAGGATCAGACAATCTAATCTCAATACATTGGTGCATAATATTTAAAAGCTTGTTTCCCGATCTCAATTTTAATGCGTGTGTTTTCCAAGACTATAAAATCTTGGGCCCTAGTCTGATGAGAAATTGATCAATAATTAAAAAGACAGGTAGGATATTCACACGTTATGAGAAAATACAAGCAGACGCTTCCTTCTGCTATCCATAAAACTCAACGCATACCACTTCGTTTTGCTGTTTTGTGGCTCTCCAGTGGGTAACGGTACACCATTCCAGCTACTTTAAAAACACCATGCATGTGTTATGGCAGAATGTTAAGACCTTACACATGTCGACATTCAGACTTCCTTCCACTGGACTTTTTTTTTTCCTCCTCCGCTTAATGTAAAATATATTTTGGTTATCCTGAAGATTAGACTGAGCCTTTCTCCTTTCTCTGAACACCCGTTTGAAATTTGAAGCTGAAAAGCTTGGCGGAAAACATGCCTCTGCTTCAACATCTGCCAAACAAGGGGCAGCATGAAGAGAACACTTAACCTACAATTAAGAGTACTTAGTGACTTCACACATCTCTTAGCGTGTGAAGACCGAGGAAACAGTCGGCCCCAAGGACATAGTAAAATCTGTCATTAACGCCTTAATTAAAGTGTGAAAACTCAGAAGGAAATTATCCACAGCTGGTTTAAAGTATAAAACAGATAGTCTAATGTTTTATCCTGCATCGCTGAGCAACATGTGAGCTGAACACAGTCGAGGAGTTCACAATATCAAAGACCAACAGGTTGAGACGGTAGCCTCTGTTTGGTCTCCTCAGCTCCATGTGTTGCTCCTCCAGACAGAGGCACAAGAAAAAAGAAAAAAAAAGCTGGCCAGAAACCATCAACACCTGACAAAGAGAGGAGAAACGTGGGCAGCATGAGTGAAAGTAAGATGAGTGGAGGGGGGCAGGGCAGGAGGGTTGAGAAAGGTCCTCCACCCAGACGCTGGGAGAGGGTCAGGCCGGCGACTGGTGCAAGAAGGAGGGGGAGGACCCATATGCAGAATATTTAAGATGCTCAGGCAGAGGAGGGCTTTGCTGAGAAAACAAGACAGAGCCTGGGCGAGCGGCTGGTCAAAGGAGAGCTCCACCTCAACTGGTCAACGCTTCTGTGAGCTGCACCGGGTTTGTGTCTTTTGATAATTCTAGAGAAAAGTTCTCTCCAGGGCCTGACTGCTTCTGAGCAACCAAAACACCTGCGACTGTGTGAAGATCTTAAAAGTTTTTTTTTCATTTAAAAAAAAATGGCAAAAATAAATCTGAGCGTAGTGGCTCTGGGGCTCACGCTGCTCCTGTTAGCGGAGACGTGGGCCCAGAATCCCAGGAAGAGACTGGCGCCTCCGAAGCCTCCCAAGGGCCAGTGCTGCGACGAGGTGCGCTCCCTCAAAGTCCAGGTGGCCAATCTGACCAGCCTCCTCGAGGAGCTGAGTCGCAAGCAGGAGACAGACTTGATGAACGTCGTGAGGCAAATCATGGAGCTGGACCAGCAGAACCGGCAGCAGGAAGCCCGGGTCACAGAGGCAGAGAGCAAGTACTCAGAGATCAACAACCGTGTGGAGATCATGCAGCTGCAGACCCTCCAGTCTGCCACCCAGACGTCGTCAGGTGAGCATCTGCTACCTGCTGAGCAGAAACTGAACGCCGTTCTAGTTTAATCTGTGCATGCAGCCTCTTGGTGTCAAAGGTTCTCAGAGAATAAGTTTAGCTTTTAAAGTAATCTGCATTAGTTCTGAATGAAGTTTGCAAAGTGGAAACCCGTCAGTGATTCTCGTGCATCGTCTCAGCTGCGGTGAAAATTTCTGTTTAAGATTATTTCCTAACCAAACGTACCATTTTCTACCAACCTTTTAAGTTTGTTTTGAATTGAAGGGTCCAAATATATATTTCAAAAGCCTCTTTTAAGATTAAGGGAAACGTTTTCATGTCACTGGAATGCGAGCACTTCTAACACGGGCAAAGCACAAAATTATACATTTATTTTTGCTGCCAAAATACTATAATCAGCCCCGTTCGCTGCTTTGTAGGCCCCAGAGAAGTGCTGTGGATCCGCTGTGAGGTAGATTACAGTGCACGTACTAATCGGAACGGCCCCGCGGAAGGAAAAAAAAAAAAAAAGCATTAATTTGGAGCCGCAGAGTCCCAGCTGTCAATAAAGACTTTCATCAAAGCCATATCCACTCCACCGCTAGTCACACTGGCTGCCGTGGAGCGGTTAACCAGGCATGACGTCGTTTATTATTCCAATACCTTGACTGTGTGGTCTAATAGGGCCGCATTTATGACACTGGCAAAGGGAACACAGAGTCCTTTTCAAAACTTGAGCAAATCAGAGACAGGAAGGGTCGCAAAGATTAGAAGAAGTGGAGGGTTTCCATATCTCATCAGGCATTGGGCTCATCGCTCCGCAGTGATCTCATACGGCCCCAGTAATGGCAGCACCATACAGTGACGGGGGGTGAAAAGGGGAACTATGCAAACTCAGAACATGCCGTGCACATCGTCTACTGCTTTAGTCTCTGATGTTTTTGGTGGGAGGTGAAAGGTTATTTTCTCATCTGCCCAATCATTCAGACACCCATAAAGCTGTATTTTATGGCATTTACATTTTAAAAAAAATAGTCATAAAACTGCATATGGTTTCAGGATAACTTGGGATATTCTTTTTTTCCAGATGCAACGTACGACTGTGCAGCACTCTACAGCAAGAGCTACAAGATCTCTGGCGAGTACAAGCTGCCTAAAGACGACTTTCTGGGTACACCTGAGCTCAACGTAAGTGACGCCTGAGTCGTGCGTACGTCACGTCTTCTTTGTGTACTTTTATCACTCTAATGGTTGTTTCTGCTTCAGGTCTTCTGCGATATGGAGACGAACGGAGGCGGCTGGACTCTGATCCAAAGGCGCAAGGTCGGCCTGACGTCCTTTAACCGTGACTGGAAGCAATACAAGAGCGGGTTTGGATCCATCCGTGGAGACTTCTGGCTGGGCAATGACCACATCTTCCGCCTAACAAGGCAGCCCAGTACGCTCAGGATCGAGCTGGAGGTACGTATTGGAAAGTGTGGCAGTCTAGTGTAGGCTTGGGCCCAAACATGAAAGAGCAAAACTACGTAAGCGTGCATAAAGCGTTTCATAGCCTTTACCTAAAAGTACTGAGCAGAAAAAAAAAAAATTAAATAATAAATGGAACCAGCCGGACCATGAGAGCCACTATTGTCCGTTTTTCTAACCGCTCCTCTCTAAATCCTGTTATACGTGTTTTCCGACAGGACTGGGAGGGAGAGACGCGCTACGCCGAGTACGGCTTCTTCACCGTGGGCAATGAGCTCAACAGCTACAAGCTCTTCCTCGCCAACTATAGTGGAAACGCCGGAGACTCCTTGCGCTACCACAACAACACCAACTTCAGCACCAACAACAAGGACAACGACAAGTGTGTGGACGACTGCGCTTCCCTGCGCAAAGGTAAACTCTTCAAAACAATCAATCCATTTATAACACAGGTAGATATTGTTCTAGGGCTCATTCTTTTCCCTCTTCTCTTCCCCCAGGTGGCTACTGGTACAACTGCTGCACTGACTCAAACTTGAACGGCGTATTTTACCGCTACGGTGAGCACACAAAGAACACAGATGGGATCACTTGGTATGGCTGGCACGGGCCCAACTACTCCCTCAAGAAAGTGGAGATGAAGGTCCGGCCAATGGGTTTTCAACCATAAGTGCTTCAGCTGTGTGTTCTGGATCAAGATCATACGCATGAATGCCGAGAGATCTCACTAATACCTGCTCAACAGAATTGTGGCTTTGCCTCGACTGAGAGAAGAGGATTGAAATTGCTGTTTGTGATGGTCTGCTTAAACTCCAGTCAGATGAATGTGTAATGTTGTTTTTTTTGTTGCCGTGTTTGATTGTAAATTGTAGTTCTTTTTTTTGTGTATTTATCAGTAAAATATTTTATTTTTTAAAAGCTTCGATAGATGCTCTTTTACCACTGTCCCCTCGGGGTTACTGGATCGAGATTCTTTCCCTCATTTGTCTTGAAAGCAGTAGGATTTTATATTCAGTTAACACAAGCAAGAATAATCATTAAGGATTTGGTGGAGCTAATTAAAAAAAGGATCTTTGAGAGTCGCTGGGACGGGACCAACCACCAGAAGGTGTTTTCCTTGTTGAACCTTAACTATTCATGATGGAAAGGTGTAATTTGTAAAATGTGTACAGCTCTGTAATTATGTTGTTTCATGTGACAGAAATAAAACAAAAATATTTTTTAAAAGAAACACAGTGCACGTCTTTTCTCTTGACTTCTGATAGCTGCTGTGTGACAAACTGAAAGGAGTCAAGGTCTTGCGTCTATTCATGTCCAATAACGGCGACATATCTGCTTGAGCCACAGACCTCTGACTCGTAGGTCATCTCCTGACACCCTGGCCAAAGGTCCCAAGGCACCTAAGCCAAATGGAGGAAAGAAGACCACACACACTCTGTACTCAGCCGGCCAGTTAAACAACCCGAAGCTTTACTCCCTTGAAAACAATAACACCATTTTGCTACGCTCAGAGCCAACACAGAATTCCTCAGAGCCTCAAACACCCGCAGACGGTCAGACGGGCTTGGCGGTGACACATTCGGTCAGAACAAACATCTAACGCAAGCTGAACATTTACTTCTTTGCTTCAAAGGAATTGACCGCAGTGACACTTAAAAAAAAAAAGACTTTGGATGATGACGAATGCATTTCAAAGCGTCCAAAGTATTCAAACTTACACCCTCGACAATAAAAGCAGACCTTAAAGAGCGGTCAGCAAGAGGTGCAACTGTGAGAGTCCAGTTACTATTGACGTAAATCCACAGAGGGACTTCTAATGGCTCCGTGCTTTATTTAGGAAACTCAGCTGCTGCCGACGAAGCGGGGATTTTTTCAGGGAATTTAAACTTTAGTGAACAGGGCGGCCAAAAGCGGCATTCAAGTTATTTTGTAAAAGGCAAGTGTGAGTTGACCTTTGAGCAAAAAGTCAAGCCGCAGAACTACAACGGATCAAAACAGATGGTAGCGTTCAAGCTTGTGTTCACCTAAATTTTACCTGGAATGCATAAGCTATGTGAAATGACAACTCTGAGCATCCCGACTGTGTCACAGTAATAAATAAATACAACCTTTGGAAGAGTTGCGGGTTCATCTTTATTATCTGTTTGTGATGTCGTTAAACAGAGCTGAACTATGACATTGTTTTCCTGCTATTTAGTGGTAGTATAGCCCTGAGTTTTGCTGTAACTATGTGCAGTGCGAGCCAAGTAAGAACTCAATAAAATGTCCTACGGTCAGCAAAGCTAGGACTCTGCTCGACTCGTGCCAACAAGTTAGTACGAGAGTAGTATGGCTGGCCAGCAAAAGATGAGGCTTTGCTTCACCGCCTGCAGTCCTCTGTACATCTGAACATACTAAACTTTATTTAAAATTCCATTTCCAAGCATTTCCATGGTGCCCAGTAACATCATGGCTACACATATATTACTGACATATGCTCCAGGTGCCTCTGAAACCACCTAATACCTGACACCTACGACGCAGCTTTCGCCCTCATCGTCGTCACCATTCAATCAGATTCAGCAAAATTCAACATTTCCAAAGTAAAACGAAGAAAACAGAACCAACTGACCATCACACAGATCCACTTAAGGAGCCTGCATGATCTACCAATAACACTATAAGCCAATCTGTCAATTAACAACGTCTTTCTGTTGATGGCATTAATGGGGAAAATGTGACCAATCTCCTGGTCGTGTCTTCAGCTAACGGGGCCTCAGAATACAGTCAAACCACAAACTAGCTTCTTAAAAACAAATTCATACCAGTTATGAGTACGTCACTCATTCAGATTTATTATCGCAGATTTAAACTAAAGATCTAAACGAGAGCGTATGAATGAATAAGCCATCGACAAACACAATGACTCATCAGGTACTAAAACAGCAACGACGGCGGTGCCTCCTCATCATCAAAAAGCATTCTGTCTAATAGAGCCACGACTCGGTGAGAGCAGGCTTTTTTTTTTTGCACACCAACATCGAGATCTTTTTTATGGGAAATCCTGGAGAGGTGAGAACCAGATGGGGATATTGAAAACACCAGAGTACCGGCTCCCATCATTCATCATCATCAAGGCTCCTGAGAAATTGAAAACAGGCCCCAGAGAAACACAAGTCCAGACACTCATAGATGAAAAGAAGGCAAGCGTCCAATTAGATGGCTGGAAAACAGATTTCTCCTTGCCATGCCAAAAGGCAGAGAAATAAAGAAGGAAGAGAAAACGAGATGGAAAAGATGACCGAAGATATCAAAGGGCTGTGGGACAGGAGGAGACGCATCGTGCAATTTCTGTGTCTATTTAGTAGACAAAAAATTGACTCCGAGAGGATGCTATAAATTTTGTTTTAAGCAATGCTAATCACCAAGGAGCCATCAAATAAACGGACCATTAAATACAGTTTTATTTGCTCTGTGCATGTAAATAAACGAGCGCTTGTTCTTTTCAGTCATAACGTGACTTTCTGGGATTTTCAGACCTCCTACCTGATGAGAGACTCCAGGATGAGAGGAGAAGGGCCTTTCTGGAACTCCAGCTCTTTGTAATGCAAGGCCTTGGCGTAGGCACGACATTTGGCAGCTCGCTCGCCAAGCAGCACAATGCCATTATCATCTCTGAGAGGCAAAGGGCCCTGGAAAAAAAGAACACAAACTGTATTAAATAACTCTGTTATTTCTCTAAAAAAAGAAAGAAAGGAATCTGGAATGAACACCTGTGACCCCTCTTGTCCTTTAGTAGTAGTTCATGCCGTTCTTCCCACTGGCTCTGAATAGCATATTTGTACTATATGTGTTTCTACTGAGGCCTCACAGCAAGGGGTCCCTGCTGAAATGCTATATTGTGACCCAAACATGGTATACGCAGCCCTCAGCGTAACAGTGTCGTCACTAATTAGCACCACATGTGTGGTCAAATAGAGGGACAAGAGACAAATTCCCATTTTGTAATGTTTGTCCTCTTAATGTTCAAGTTGCTTTAAGTAACAAAGCATTAGTGGGCTTTAAGTGTCCCTATTTTCATCAGCTGACAACAGCTCAAATGTCCTATGGTTGGATTTGTGACTGCATTTGTTCAGGTAAAAATGCACACCTTCCTAAAACAAAGCCTTCTGTGCCGCAGCTGCTCGTGGCACAACGTCGTGTGAGCATCCAAGCTGAAGCGCTAAAGTTACGAGATTAGTAGCTCTATAGCTCTACAAAACATGGGAGCAAATGAGCAGTCGGCTAGAAGCTCTCTTTGCATCTGGTTCACGGTTCGTCTTTCCTGGCAGATGCAGAAATTCAAAACACTGAATGTTTTCCTGCACACCTTAGCCCGGAGATGTTGGGCCGAGCGAAACAGAATCATTGTTTCCACAAAAACAGCATCACAAACAGATAAGGTTTGAATTACTGCTGCTGCTGCTGCTCTGCCAGCGAGTACAGTCTTTTTCCATGTACTGTGGGATCAACAAGTATTTAGACTCCTTCACATTTTGAACACCTTTCATCAATTTACACTGGAGCAAAGTTTTATCTATTTAAATCTACCACGTCGACACGATGAAGTGGGCGAGAAGTGGAGGCATCTGCTGGCGGTAGCTCTGGCTAAGATCAAAACCTTGAATTTAGAAGGATTCAGATTTAATTTATATACAGATACACACCTGCAGGAACCCTAGTAAAACATGACTTCAGGCTGAATTGTTTCACAGTAATCCCATGGCTTAACGTAGCTCACTGCTAACCTTGTCACTGTGCTCCATGAACTCCGCCAAGTTGAGCAGCGTCTGCGTGACCTCGGCGATGTCTTGGGAGGTGAGCGCTAACTCGATGCTGCGGATGAGCTCGTCCTGCTGGTCCTCGCTCAGCTCGGACCAACAAGACAGAAAAGCTGCGTTGAACAGGTCTCTGTGAACCGCAGGAACACAATTCAGTCGTTAAAATGTGTGACATGACATTAAAACGTAGATGAGTCGGCTACAGAAGTTGGAAGACCAGCAAATCAGTAGCATGAGCTTTCTATAGCTTATGTGGCTTCACAGCTGAGCTCATCTGTTTCCCATGTACAGCTACACACAGTCAGAATTACAAAGACAGAGCTTCAGAGTTGTACGTTTCCATGTTATGGTTTCAGCTACTGTGGTTTATCATAGCTGTGGAGCATTAAAGAAATAAGACAAGGATAAAGAATAAAAGGAGGCGGAAGTGAGCTACGAAGCGAGACATGACAGCAGCACTGTACCTGGCAAGAGGGATGTAGGTCTGAGCCAGTGACCAGCACGATCGCAGGGCCGGGGAGGACGATTCTTTGAGCAGCACGACGCTCAAGCGCCTCAGCCACTCCAGCCAGTCGTCTTTGGACACCTTCCTGGCAGCACCCCAAGCCTGAATAACGGAAGAAGTAATCCATTTCAGAGGTCACTGGGAACTGAGAGGGAGCAGTAGCTTCTCCAGACTACAGCTAATGTGTGTGGGATGATCTGGCTCAGATATGACAATCTGCAACTGGTAATCAGAAGTTGAAGAGAACACAAAGAAAAGGAAAACCATGCAACAGAACCGTACCAAACGATTGCCTCGCTTCCTGTCTTGATGATGGGGGAGGGAAGCACTGTGTCATCTCTCGTGGATATTTAGCCACTAGCCAGTAATTCACATTGTTTTCATAAACCCCATTCAGTGAGGCCTGGAACTGTACGAGGAAGCATCTGCACTCACTGTGTCCTGCTGCTCATTTGTACAAGTTCTTGCTGAAGTTTTGGGCCGTCTGTTGGATGTTAACTGTGTATAATCGTACTGTACGCTAGCCCCGTAACACAAACACTGGACTCGTGTGCGTTATCTCTCACCATGGAAAAATATCAAAAGGCAGGTTTAAAAGAAAAAAAAACATCCAATTTTCTTTTATTTTTTTTTGTATCTCCCTACCTTCTGAAGTGCAGTGGTGCTGACATGGAGCTTCTTCATAGGTCCTGCCTCCACTGGCCCGCTGACGAGAGCATCGCCTTGGTTACGCTGGCGATGCTGGAAGATGAGAGGGTCCTCTTCCTCCTCTGCCAGAGTGTAGCCCTGGTATGGATGGACACACACACACAAAGACAGACAGACACAAACATGCTTTATGAAGGCAGAAGTACGTTTCCTTCTCGAGGGACTGTTGATAAACAGAGCAGCGGAACAACCTGCTTGCGGTACACGGTTTGTTTACGATGATGTAATATCTTCCCCGACCACGTGTGGTCATTTTGAATCATCAAAGGTTAGAATATTTGGGTCCGACGAAGCAGGAGACACAACAACGTACGTATGCTCATGAATTCAGGAGACACAAGTGCCCTGTGAACCCTCTAAACTTGCTCCTGTCACATTTATTTTCACCAACTGTGGGCTCATTTCTCACTGAAATATGAAGCCATGCACAACTACAGAAACAGCAGAGCCACGGCTAGAAGCACAGAGAAATACAAAAGTTGAATTTCTTTGATTACCTATTTACTAATAGTGGACAAACACAGTGGCTTGTCTCCTCTCTGTCTCTTTAAACACAGCCTGAATTGTCTTCATGTGATTGCTGCTCATAGCTAAGCTGCTACGACAAAGATCACAAAATGTTTTTTTACAATATCAGGTTAATGGTTTACTTCAGGCAGTTCTTTAAATAAGACTAAATCTGTATAGATTTCTTGGCATGTCCAAAATATAGAGTACAAGATGCATCTAAATGTGAAAATCTGACCTTTCTTTTTGTTTTTACACTCTCTGGCTCTGATTAATGGTGGAATTCTGGTGATTTTGTAAAGAGCACATCCCTTTCAAACCCGCCAGCAGGGTTAATACATTTATCTGGACTCACCTTAACAATGCGACATATGAGTATGTCGTAACGCTGGTGGTTGATCCTGTGCTTCAGCATCACTTTGTTCACCATGGGGATGAAGATCTGGTACTGAAAATGAGAGGGAAGGGAATCAGTAAACAAAAGGGTGTGTGTGTGCTTCATGTGGTTTAGTCTTGCTACCTTTATCCCCCCTCGCCATAAAGTAAATAACTGGGTATTTAATCTCAGATCAAAAGCTTCCCCTGCCAGACACGGCTGGGCCGGGCCGCTGGTTCTGAGGTTAGACCAGAAAACGATACGAGGGTTGAGGGATGAGGGAGGGGACGGCTTGGGGTAAGTGTGGCCTCAACCGCTCGTACAAACACCACCCCCCGCTGCCAAATGGTCAATGACATCAGCAGTCAGGCAGGAAGTAATAAAGATTGGGGGAGCGGGGGCTACCAAAATGCAGTTCATGTGAAGCCAACAGTAGAGAGGCTGGAAGTAGTCTTCTCAATAATAGCTACATGTGAGAGAAGCCTGCGGGACTGCTGAGGCTACCTTCTTGCCCAGCTGGAACACGAGCGAGGACAGCGTGTCCATAGAGGTGGAACGCAGCTCAGGCGTGCTGTCAAGTGTCCGGACAATTGGGTGGATTATACGTGAAGCATAGTCTGTGAAGTCCAGGGACTCTGTCAGCCGGTCAAGTGTCTCCAAGGCAACCCTGAGCCAGAGAGGAAAAACAGAAAATGCTCAGCTTCACTTAAATATTTGTAAGACATAGAGACAGAGACAGAGGCTGCTCCAAAAACACTCTGCAAAAAAGGCAAGAAGACGTGAAAAGACTGAAGTATTTGCCAGTTAAGATTCTTTAATAGGAAAAAAATGCAATAAAAACTTTATGCTCTGAAGAAGAAACCAGAACAGCCTGCTCTTTTTTCTCATATCACAAGGTTGCTCTAATTTTATTTTTTCCATTTCTACGGTGCAACTGCTTAAATACTCGAAATCATATTTAAAAGAATCAATCAATGCCATTAAGAAATCAAATGAGGAAGATGTTTAACTTGGGAACTGGATCCCTCACTGAGACCGCGAGCACAGCTATGTGTGGTACTCACTTGCGGGCCTGCAGGGGCACATCAGGGGCATCAAACAGTTTGACGATGGGAGGCAGCAACAAATGGAGGTAGTCGTCGAGGTTGGCACCAAACAGCTGTATGGCGTTGAGCAGCTAGAAAGGAGAGCGCACATTATTTACTCCCACATACCGCAACACTTAAACATAAGTAGCCTTAATGAGCATGTTATGGCTAAATGGTTTTCTTTAGGAAGCCCAAAAAGAAAAGCTGGATGTGTTGTATCTCAGGAAGGCCGTGGCACGGACGCTGGCTTTCTAGGAAAAGTCCAGCAGCTTTGAAAATAAAACAAAAGCTACACTAGAGCTAAAGACATGAAACATTTTCACACAGTGACAGACATCCATCACTGTGTCATTTAGTGTATTCAAATACAGTCGTGACTCGATAATCGAACCTTAACAATCCTGAACCTGCAGTCCAACAGGTTTTTAGGAAAAACCAACAGAACCCATAAAAACAGCCTTAACATAGCGACAGCCTTGGATTGTGACTCCGACATGACATTTAATGTCACCAATCAGGATGACGGCGTATTATCTGACTGAACAATCCCACAGATTGGCTACGTTCACACTGCAGGACTTGATGCTCAATGAGGATTTCTTTGTGACTTCCTTCACGTTTCCAGTTCAATGCGACTTGTATGTGATCTGCTGTGTGAACTTCATACGAGCCAAAAGTGTCCCGCATGCGCAGAAGAGGACACGACGACGTCACACGCAGCGAGCGTGCTCAGTGTTTATGGAAGTAAACATGGATGGTAACGGTGGAGCGTATCTGCCACTCCCCCGCCGCCACCGATGGAGGAAACAGAAGTGTGAGCGCTAACTAAACTAGCATCAGCAGCCAAGTACTGCCTGTGTGTTCTGGACACTTCCACCCCGTCAGAGCGCTGCCCCGGGGTGGAAGTGTCCCCCGACAGCACCGAATATTCTGATATTCATCATTAATTGGGCCTGAATATCCAGAGACCAGAAAGTGCTGTTGGGACCAGCCCTACTAGTTATTATAACAACTATGAACAATGAATATTAACAACTAATGAGCCTTCCAGCATCAAGCCCTCCTTGTATCTGGACCTCTGTCTTGACAATCCGACAGTAAAAGAAGGTTTTACATCTAGTGTCGGATTATCGAGTCACGACTGTATTTCCGAGTTAAAATTCTGATGGACTTGAGTAGTGACATGTTTTTCCTTTTAAATCTGTGAGAAAGTGACTTCTTTTCATTGAGGAACCGTCCTGTCATCATGTATGACGGCAGCAATTTTTCAGACCGCTCTGGAACTGCTCTATGTTTTACTTAATGGTGTGACTCCACGTTAGATTGTGACACAGGCACTATGTACACTTTTACATTTCACAGCTGCATAATGGAGTGTTTCAGCATCAACGCCGCGATGTTGCACAATGGTCAATCGTTTATTTTTTTCGCGTTTATTTTTTTTTCATACCTAATCCACAAGAGAAGTCTGCTTTACTTCAATTTTAGGGTTCTTGGACACACTGAATTATTGTTTTCACTTTGAACACAGAACACAGAGTTTGTTGACCTTGTTGAATGAACAAAAGAAAGAGTGAGCAACACTGACGAGGAGAATCTGGTTGCAAAAAAGAAATATTTTGACTACAGCGAGGATGAGGGTAACCGAAAACAGGCACGCCGTCGCCGATGTGTTACAGTTGTTGTCACTACGACAGGCAGCAAGACTAATTTGTTTGACCGTTAACATCAGCAACACAAAGATATCAAAGATGGACGTGTTCAAGGCATCTGGGGAAAATTCCTGATATTGCAGAAAAAGGAAATATTGCAGTGTCAGGTTTGTCCAACATCACGCACACCTAACTGAGCTCATCACAAAGGCTGCAGGACGAACTGTCCACAACACATGCTGAAGAGAAAACTTTAAACGTTAACTGGAATGTGTTTTGTGGGAAAGTCTTCTAGAGTTTGGCCCGACAGTAAACAACATGTTGTGTGGGACACGTGTGCGCAGGCTGGATGGGTGCACGGTGGTCTTAAAGGATGACGTGTGTTGCAGGCAACAAACTCACCCCAGACCTCGACACACACACACCGTGACCAAATCTGCTGTAGCCCTCCACCCCCCGTCTGAAGTGCACACGGCGAGACAGCAGGAAGCAGAGGTGGAGGTGAAAGAGTGAGTGTGTGTGTGTGTGTGTGTGTGTTGGTGGGGGCGTAAGCAGAGCAGCTTCTTGAAATGATGGAAGTATGTTTTTCTTTTCTTCTCCTCTGGACCTGAGGGTAACCTGATTCCCCCTTCCCCCACTTCATGACCCCCGTCCTGTGCTAAAGATCAGGCTGCCAGACCCGAGCTGCAGACTATCCAGACTGTGGGCCGCTGGATTATCTAATACTACAGCTTCTGAGACAAAACAGCACCGGAGGAGAGAGGACTAGATGACTGTGCTGCTTATGATTCTGTCTTTGTGGTTTCTGCCCAAACCATGATTTAGAGTTTGAGGGAAAACTCTGACAACCGCTGGCAGCAGCTGCAGAAACGGGAGAGTGTGTTAGTTACAGGTCTATGCTGTGTTTGAACGGCGGCGTTACAAGAGAATGGCTTAGATCTGGGCGGCCTTGATGGATATTGATGAAAACCGCAAACAGAAAGCAGCCGACGGTGGGCTGAGCTCCGGTGCTTTCGGTAACAGTGTGGAGTGACAGGACCGTGGTTTAAACACAAACTCTTTATGGCACAATTAAGCTATCTGACACGTGATCTTGTCAGTCTTGTTAGAGCTTGTTTTCCACCTGATTTATGGCAGACCGTGTGACTAACGGTCAGCGTGGCTCTCAAATGACAAGCTGAGTGGTCAACCTAAAAAAAAAGCTGTTACATAACACGTTTATCTGGGTCATGCTCTTCTGGGACACGCTGTTGTCACAACATTATCAATTACAGGCACTAAAGTTTACAGCTACCTTATATCTTTATGTGTAGACACACATTCCACACTTAACTAGGGATGTAAAAGGTGCTAAAGCTAACATCTACGTGTCAGGCTCTTTTACTCTTTCCTACGCATGTTCTGTGTTTTTGTGACGTGTAAGGACAAATAAAGTACCCTGTCTATCTGTGCATGCTAACAATAGCGGCCAAATTGTTTTATTTCTTACCATTACTGACTGAATGACTTTGCATTCATCACACAGAGCTCTGTGAAGTTGATTTAAATTAGTCATGTTGCCTCGTGTAGAGGAACAGCTGCAGGAGCGCGCAAAAAGACGACCTGTTTTTGGTCAACATCATCTGAATTATACCTGAATTAAGTACATTTTCTAGACGCAAAATAGAAATCAATCTGGGCCCAAAACACCCAACTTGCTGAACATCTGCTAATCAATCCTATAATTTACCAGTGTTCCTTAAACGCCTCGCATGCAAGCTATGGTCGAAGCCAGCTGGGGTACACTTAGAAACCGCTCATCTCCGCGAGTGTAGCCCAGAGTTCCCGTCCTGTTTATTTGCTGTGCACATGTGGAGCCTGCATGTTAACAAACTCTGTGTCTTGTAAAAGTTTTGAAAAGCACTCAGAAGAACTCTTCAATGACAGTAAACAGTGTGATATCAGACAGGCTTCTCTCAGGAGAACAGTGCTTCTTCTTCTTCTTCTTCTTCTTCTTCTTCTTTTTTGTTATCAAACAGCAAACAGAAAAGTTGCTGCATAACGTGTTTGAGTGAATTCACCTTATTTTACATCACACTTCACACTTCTTTACGTTTTTTCAGCGCATTATCAAATTTTGACAGGACTGAATAAATGCTGTCCATGTCAATTAAAAAGAGAGGGCAGAAAATAAAGTCTGAAATACAATGACAAGGTAAATTAAAGCCACAAGCGGCGATGTCGTACGCTTGTCGGCCTTCGTGCACATCAGGGTTCGGTAGAAACGTGCTCCGGGCGGGACTCTGATCTGGTGTGTCGAGTTTGGGGCAGATCGGAGCACGTGCGGCCTAGTTACGAGCCACTTCCTGTTTAATGGCGAGTCGCAGCGGCGTGTGTGTTGGCCATGGCGGAAACGCGCTCTGGTTGAGACTGGGAGATGGGTGTAAAGTTTCAGGCCGATCGGAGCACACACAGGCCAGTTATACATTCGTTTTATGGCGTTTTGACCAAATCCGTGGGCTGCCAGTTCCACGCTGTCAGACTTTTGCATAACGTTTTAATAACTTTTAATCACTACATCCTGTAGTTTGTGCTGGCCAAATTTCAGGTGTGTACGACGTACCCCCTACGAGGAGATAGATTTTGAAAATGGCCAAAAATGAGCGAAAATGGCCTCGCCGTTTTTCCAACATGGCAGATTTCCTGTTGGGTTTACAGAAAAGCGCTGATGGACTTTTTTGTGCGCACCAACCTGCTACATATGTGTCCCAATTTTTGTAGCTCTACGTCAAACGTAGCCCCGATGGGACTCTGTTGAAATATAGGGGGCGCAATTGAGCCATTTGCATTTTAGAGCTTGGTGCTGGAAGACTTTTTGTTCGTCCTGACCTACTCTGTATGCCTACCAAATAGTGTAGCTCTAGGTCAAACGTGCATGTGACAGGAGTCCGTTAAAATTTTCAAGAGGGCGCTGTGGAGCCATTTTGTCATTTCTACGGCCAATTCCATTGTAAGATGAATTTCGATCACCGTGCAAATGTGTGTGCTAGTTTTGTTGAGTTTTCGTGCATGTTTAGGCCCTCAAAAATGGGTTTACTGATGATGAAAAATAATGATCACAAGGGTTTCAATAAGGTCCTTGCACTGGTCGTGCCCCGACCCTATTTATATTAAAAGAATACAGGGAGTGAGTCACTAACGAATAAACAAACCAGGGTCCCTCTGATAATTACGCCGCCTGTGCAAAGGGCCACTTTGGTCTGTTTTTATTGCAAGTGGTTGAAATGACTCAATTTCTTTTTTTTATTTCAGCAACCGCTCTGCACTCTGCCGAGCAAGCACTCATGGCACCACTAACCTATTTCCAAGCAATATTTTATATTCGTTAAGCCTCCACTGAGGGTTGTGAAAGCACTTTTTAGACCACAAATCCAATCCAGTCGCACTGAATTCATTTCTGTAACCTTTATTGTTTTTTCCCGATTCGATTTCACTGTTTATGTTCTCTTTTTCATGACTGACTACTTCAATGCGTTCTCTTGTCAAAACTATTGAGTTATACTTCCCAAACTGTAACCTCATCTGTAATTCTTACATGTTAAACATTCAGGTGTCACAGCCAATGGCTCAACCTGTAACGTCTGTGATGTAAATTGGAAGAACATTCAGCAGACTTATGTTGTTTTTAATTGGTTTGTCATCATAGAAAAAAATGTCTTTTACTGCCAAACAACACAAACACAACATTTGCAGAATTTAAAAGCTTAAAATTAGTGGTTATCTAGTGCTGTTTGGGGAATTTAAAAAACTCCAAATCAATCTGGAAGTAGCTTTTTATCTTTCTGTGTACCACCCTTCAATGCACACACAACACCAGACCGTATGGAAAACATGAGACAGACCGTGACGCTTCACTCAAGCGGTCGATCACAGAGAAGGACCGATGTTCCTGTCGTCTAAACCTCATCACGATGCACTCACCTTGATGGTGACGCTGCGCCCGGTGCTGTTGTCGTGCATGAAGACGCGCAGCATGTGTGGGATGAGCTGAGGCAGGTAGAGCTTGAACTCTCCACCCAGCGCCACCACGATCTGCTCAATCAGGAGGATGATGGTGTTCTGCATGGGGTTGTTCGGTGTCCAGTACTCCTGAAATACACACCATGATATGCTGATATTAGTTCCATATTTCAAATGTAGTATTCCTCCAATACATCCCACAACACAGCTCTGGGATTGCACTCCTCGAATCCCTGAAACTTCAGATGATTATACATTCCCCGACTGACTTGGTGATAGGATTCAGTTTTCTAGTTTTTCTAATATTAGTGGAAGAAGAATTAGTTTACGATCTCACTGTTAACCAACAGTTGAATAATATCAGTATATGTAGACAACCACCTGGCTAGGATGGGATGATGAAAACATTCAGAGACTTTTCATGGTGCACGTGACATGCGTGCGAGCACTAACTGTCGTGAGTCAGGATCTCGTGAGACCAAGCCATTAACACCTGAGCCTGTGGTACACATGTTTTTGTGACCACTGGTAGGTACGCATTTGGGATTTTAAACTTTAAACTGTAGCAGAGCAGAAAACATCACAACCTGTCAGTTGGTATTCCACAAAGAGTCATAAGAGGGGAGTTTGCAGCGACCACTGAGAGGAGAAACAGCAGTTCAGTCCATTCAACACATATAGTATGGAGATATCACGCCCTGCATGGCCTGATTGGAGACACCTGTATTAGCAACTTTAAGGCCGATGATTGGGATGACATATGTGAAGCCCTGCCTGGACATATAAATACCCATCATCCCTCAGTTCTTAGGTTCTTCACCCCGCCAAGAACACCTCCTTGAGATAGGCTAGATAGCTACTGCTAGTTAGCTCTGTTTTCTGTAGGCTACTGCTGGTTTGAAATTGGTTTAACTGCCCCTGTTGGTAAGTGTGGCTGTCCGCAGAGCGCTGATTTCGAGCTTCCTCTTAAAAGTTGGGGGCTTTGTGTTCCGGTATGAGCACCAAGTCTAAGGAACAGGTCTTCAGTTGGCCCCTGTCCTCAGTGGTGCGGTTTCCCCTTGCACTGCAAAGACCAGCACGAAACATGTCCGGTCTGTCTTGACGAAGCCCAAGGGGGTGAGGTCTGTTGCCAGTTTTAGCGTTCAACCCTGGAGAGATAGGTCACATTTCTGGAAAAGACGCTGGGTACCACGACCACACGGCACGACGGACCCGGCTTTGTCCGAGTCCGACTACAAGTGGTTCCTGGTAAAACGTCCCGCTACTAGCCGGGCAGACCATACGGACTATATTGGCGAGTTAGCCAAACTCGAGCCAGAGCCCTCAGATGGAGCTGGTCAGCCTGAATTTGGTCTGGAAGCCCACCATGATGACAAGGACGTGCTGGACATTTGGCTCCCTGTTAATCCTGCTCCTCCCCAAAATGAAACTCAAGTTGAAGGGTCGCCGATCTCAAACAGCGCTTAACATCTCTACATAACGGGTATTTCAGGGAGCATTACAGGAACTGCAGAAGCCCTGGGAGCGCTGTATCACTGCACAGTGAGACGGCTGTGATGGTGACGGCGGCTAAATTTGAATCAGCCACGGTTTTGTTTTTTTAATCGGCGTAGTCTTGATACTTTTTGATCAATCCTCACATACAGCATGATCAACAGAAATAGACGGATGTGTAAGCCAATAAGTTTTAGGTCTGCCCTAGATATTTTTGACCTAAATAAATGCAATTCCAGTTACTGAATATAAAGTTTTACAGTATTCAGAGAGTACGTCCAAAGCACCAGAACACTACCTCACTCGCTTGGCCCTATTGTAGTGCAGAGGGTTTGTGTGAGTCTGCAGAATTGGGTCAAAATGTGCTTCCATCAATAAGCCGAGTGTGACAGAAACGTCTGGACAGATTTTCCTCTGGAAATACGAAGCTTTCACGTGCCAGAGACAGAGAGAAAGCGTCACAGATGGCAAGGAATGGATACAATTTCCTGTCAACTGAGACTGACATCGTCTCTGTGCGGATCGCGACACTGTTTTGGAAAATCGAGGCTTGTGTACGTTAGAAATAACAGCAATTGGAGTAAACGTTGAGGACTTGAAGTCACGCAATACGTCAATCAGTCAATGGCCTTCAGCTGTGAGATCTGGCAGAGGTGTTTTGTCAGTGACCAGAGGTCTCCAGCAGCCCCCAACTTCCTGCTTTCTCTGCCTGTGGCAGCTGACGAGAGAGCAAGTGAGAGTACATCCTGAATAGCTATTCCAGCCCCCTCATCTGGATGCAGGAGCTGTACTGGAGCAAAAATGAATAGATTCTTTGTTTCACTTGCCATTTATTAACTCACAGGGACTTGAGGCGCAGTGGTTCAGGTCTCTCAATTACTTTCCACCACGAGGAGTTACCGCCATTGCAAACGTTTCGGAAAGCGTCTCACCGACATTCTGATACGAGGACAGTCATACGATACTTTGTGCTATACAATATGATCATGTGCGAGACAAATATGTTTGTACAAGTGCAGCGGCTATGGCTTTAGCAGTCGCTCCACATCATGTGATAAGGTTGAGCTTCATGAGTCACCAGCAGCTTTTTCTTAAAACTGAATTGGACCGCGCTGGTGGAATCACATCTTGCACTGCAGTTAGAAGGTATAATCCTGAACAATGAACCACTCTAAAAGGGAGTAGAAAGTATATTATCTAAATATCAGTACCACGATTTTGCATTTTTCTAGATGCACAGCCTCTTTAATTGTAATAGTTCAGCACCACAGCACACACAGTCTGTGATGCTGTGCGACAAAGGGCCCTGAACACATTACTTCTAATGAGGAAAGAGGAGAACACAACTGAGTGCAATTAGGAGCATGCAGCTGTTTGCCTGACTCACAGGAACGTAAGAGGGGCTGGATGATGGGTGTTTAGAGATTGGGGTCGGGGGGGAATGTTGACACAGCTACTCACTCTGATGAGGGTGAAGATGTCGTCCATGTAGGGGCGGATGTGGATCTTCACAAAGCAAACCACCATTCCCATCTGCTGGAACAGGAACTGGAGGACAGAGAGGAAGAAGACATCATTAAGCCAAGTAATCAGACAACAGTTCAACCACGCAGCCTCTTTCATATTAACCTGCTACCTACCTCTCGGATACTGGCGTCACAGACTCGGATGACGTTGAGGAAAGTGGGCATGACCTGCGGCAGGAACTGGACGCACTTGAGGCCCAGAGACTTGAAGATGAAGGTGACGGCCTGGACGACCATAGTGTGGTGGTTGGAGAGTGATGGGTCTCTCAGAATGCGCATCAGAGTGACAATAGCCACAGCGGGGTAAAACTCATCCAAGGGCAGGTTGCCCATGTTCACCAGCATCTCACTGGTGCTATAGTCGGCTGGAGGAGGAAAACATTGAGAGGAGTCAGTGAGATTTAAGTTTTGCAGCATTTCAGTGTCATTATTTTACAGTCTTGATGAATAAAGGCTATATGTAGTGTAGGGTCAATCAGTCATAATCAATTTGAAGACCGAGGAAGAGCAAGTTTCCCCCTTTTACAATCACAGACTGGAGACAGGGTCCACTGTGATCAGAGACACCAACACACCCCACCAGATGTCCAGCATTAAAGGAAGACACCTTCCACATCTGTCAGGACGGTGTGAGGTTTGTGTTATCAGGAGGAGGCGACGAGAAAGCAGACCTTCAGAGGAGTCCACAACACACACCTCCAAACATCCAGGATGCATACTGGGCCTAGCTGAGCCAAGCGACCGGCTCAAATCTCCAGTCACTATCAGGCCTACAAGGGACCTGCCAGAAACTCTGACCCTGCAGGAAGTAGGGGTCTGACAACAGCTTCAAAAGGATTTCACTTCACTGACAAGGTGTCACTTCCAGCTCTGGCTTGCATTATAGAGTTGGACAACAAATAAAGTTAGAACATCTTTCTTTGTGTTTTATTTTATTTTATTTCCGTTGCTCTTACTTCACAGCGTGGCGCTGGACTGCAGTAGGTGATGACTATGGCCCGTGTGGGGTCTTGTTTAAGTCCCAAGAATACATATGAAACATACCTTCACTTGCAAAAATAAACATTGTACTGATTGTTTTCTTGGCGTACCTTTCATCTTGATGACATAATGAGGTAATGCACCATAACATGCTTTCACTCTGTTATATACAGTTGAAACCACACGTTTACATCCATAAAGACATAAAACCTTTTTTTTCTCGCTGTCTGACATTAAATCAGACTAAACCTTTCCTGTCTTAGGTCAGTTAGGATTACCAACATTATTTCTATTTGTAAACACCAGAATAATGAGAGGATTTTTTATTACTTTCTTCAGAGTCAGAAGTTTCCATCCATCTCCTCAGTATCTGCTAGCGTTGCCTTTAAACTGTACGATTTGGGTCAAACGTTCTGGGTTTCCTTCCTCAAGCTTCTCACAACAGTCTGATGAGTTCTGGCCCATTCCTCCTGGTGGAACTGAGTCAGGTTTGTTGGCCTCTTTGCTCCACTGATGTTCTCCAGGATGGAGATCAGGGCTTTGTGATGGCCACTCCACAACACTGACTCTGTTGTCCTGAAGCCTCTCTGTAGCTAATCTGGAGCTATGCTGAGGCTCATTGTCCATCTGAAGACCCATTAGTGTCCAAGCTTTAACTTCCTGCTGATGTCTGGAGATGTTGCTTCAATATTTCCACATAATGTTCTTTCCTCATGATGCCATCTATTGTGTGAAGTGCACCAGTCCCTCCTGCAGCAGAACAAACCGAACCTGCTGCTACACAAAATTTTGATCTGAGCCCCGAACAGGTTCTGGCCATTTTTTTTTTTTGCTCCTGTCACTATTTCTCTCATCGTGAACAAATTTTTCAATGTGATATAATAAAGTACTGCACCTCTATCATGGCCAGAAATAAAGCGAACTAAGAAATGTTCTCTGTGCAGCAGAACAAAGTCGCATCAGTTAATAACAAAAAGCAAAGTTTACTCTTTTTTTTTTAAATTGTAAAATCCTGGAATCAGCCTGTAGACTATTTTTCACAGGTGACTGTAGATACGACAGACATTTTACTACTTACTTTTATTAAACTAGTTTCAATACTTGTCTCCTCTCTGCTCTATGTCAACACAGCCTGCAGTTCAGTCACATTTTTGTCAGACTAAAAATGTTTACTTTTTTAAATTTGACATATAAAACAAAATGATTTTGATTAAATATCACAATTTGAACCAACTAAATAGCACAGATGAGTAGTTCAAGGACAGTCAGAAAGTTGAAAATCTATTAATTCTTCCAGTTTATACAGTTTCTGACTGTAAAATTGGAAGTAATTAGGTCTACTTTTTAAAATACAGCGTGCCTTTCAAAGCCACCATTGGGTTTGTGACCATGAGATCAGATCAATAACAGCACAGCATGAAAAAAATAAAGTTCTGTTATTCAACTTGGCATTCAAAATTACTACAACTATTGAAGCTGGGACAAATTTCACAACTACACAGTGTAACACCACCTGCCCAGTCATCGCTATGGGGCAAATTGAGTCATTGATTACAACTGGACTGAGGAGCCATATGAGGGTCCGAGCAGTCCAGAACTAGAGAAACAGTGCTGATCGTTTTAACATAAAATACGACTTCATTTAAGTCGTTTTGTTGCTGTTTTTTGTGAAGGCCAATGCAAACAGAGTGTCTCTGTCCATCTATCACTGCAGGGCTGTTGAATTTTACAAGATATGTGAGAATACACATCTCTCCGTCTGGTATTCAGCGTTCTACTTAGCAGTAGGTTCAGCTGCTCTTCCCTTAGAAGACATAACAGAGGGTAGTTTTATTGCCGGTTCTTTTATTATTCCAGCCTTCACTAAGTCAAGATTAACGATGGTGATAGATGGCTACGCATCAGTGGAGCTAAGTGAGACAACAGTACTGTAATAATTCAGGCTTCAGCTGTGTGGGAAAAAAAAAAAAAAGGAAAACTGTTCCCTCGCCATAATGACAGACACAAAGCAACTTAGTAAGAGGAGGACATGCTGCATTTCATCAGTTTTATGACCCTTATGTTCTGCACTGACATGGCTGGTATTGGAAGTCACGTGAAGAGCTGCGCCGAGCCGGTGTCCTTCCACACAGCGAAAAAGATGCTAGTGCTTCAGACAGCGACCCTGACAACAGATATACAGCCTCCAGCTCTGGTCACGGTCCATTGAGTTGAAAAACAAACTGGTAAAACTATTACCATATTGTCCAAGGTCACATCCTGCGACACGTGACTGGATCAGTCAAGAGGGGACCAGCGTTCTCTAACGCACACGACTGCAGACAGACGCACGTTTTTATCGTCGTGGTTATGAATTTTCAAGATATCCCGAGGACGATGACCGTTAAGTGACAGCGTGAGCCTTCACTCTGCACCACCATGAGAGTTCCTGCAGCCGATGACGGCCAACAGAGGGATCATCTAAATGTTCAC